TTTTTGGTTCCTGTCCTGGAACTAGCTCTTGTAGACCAGGCTGGCCTCGAACTCACAGAGATCCGCCTGCCAGGAGGTGGTGGCGCATGCCTTTAATGCCATACTACTTTAATTGTTGCCCAAACAACTTTACTTGTAAATGTTCATTGCAGTGAATTGTTGGTCTGGTTCAAGGCCTCTCTGGCTTCTGATACATCATCAATACTGGACTTACTGAAACTCCTCTCAGATACCCTGCCATTGCCCCGAGTCTTGGAGATCCTGCAGCTATGGTTCCACAGGACCAGTCCTTTCACAAACTATAACAAGTCACAGATCGGGAAGACATTGGGGTGGGCCAACTCAAATCCCTGGATGTTGGCCTAGGTGGAAGCTGAATTTGTCAGTCAGACCCTTCACCAGGAATACTACCCTCAGGCCAGGATCAGGGCTGTCTCTCCCGGGTTCAAGGTGAGGGGTAGACCTAGTCTCTTCTGTACAGGACCAGCTCTCCCACTGCTGCAGCTGGCAGAGGTAGGGTGTGGTGTGGGTGGGGCCAGCTCTTCCACTGAGAGAGCCAGGAATGTTCTCCTGTGTCCAGGCTATAGGGACCAGCACTCCCATTGCCTCCCATAATAACACAGGCCACAAACATCATCACAGATCCCAGCTGGGTAGGGCCACAGACCCCAGACATGGCCTCCAGCCACAGCTCAAGCCTGTACAAAACTTGGTCCCAGGTGTCAGTATAGGCCACTCATATTATCCTGTTATCACTTCCTTTGCGCCTTCAGCTCTGCTTCTCTCCACAGTGCTCACACCACTCTACTTGTCTCCCGTTTCTCCTCCACATACCTGCTCCTCAAAGTGGCACCTGTTCTCTAGGGTTGTGGGGTGCTGTGTGGGCCTTCCCTGGCTTCTACCTTCCTTGGCTTGTAAATATGATTTTTTGTACCTACCATAAATGACATAGGGTTTAATATGATGCTTGCATTGATCCTATACATTTCTTTGAATAGTATTACAAAATTGTCTTCATCCTATTTTCATTTTTCTGTCCAAATATAAAAGTAACTTTTCCAGGACTTTGATTTTTCAGTAATATAATAATTAAATTTGGCTTCACTTCTATTTATATTGTGAATTTTCTTTCCTCTTATTGTCCTACTTAGGTTTTTTTTTTGGGGGGGGACTCAATCAGTAGCTTTGGGGTGTACGGTTTGAGACAGGATTTCTCTGTAACCACTCAGGCTGCCCTGGAACCATCTTTGTAAACCAGGCTGGCCTTGAACTCACACAGATTCACCTGCCTCTACCCCACCACAGCCTGGCTCTCAGGCTTACTTTTAACCATAGGGATGAAATGACCTAGTGCTGAGCTCTGCTGTCTGGCCACTCACACTGGCCATTACGAATTTCTTTCGGCTCCACCTTATTGCTAATTGATCTGAATTGGACTGGATTATCTCTAGATTTTTCCAATTTAACACTTCTGTGATTATCAGTTCTTTTTCTAACTTATGAGAAAGCACATCCTTGTGTTTCTTTTTCAGAAATCTCCTGTGTATTTCTTCCTCAGTTACTTAATGCTGTGGTTTCAAAAGATTTTGAAGATCAAATCATACTTCTCAAAAAAAAAAAAAAAGACATACAGGGCAACATGAAATTTCATGAATTGGCCCTTGAAAATTGGAGAGTATACATGTAGATGTGCTCATATAACATGCTGGTGCTTAATCCATTTTTGGTTGATTTTTACTAATAATGAACAATTTAAATTATCTATCTGAATTTTACTTCATATAGGTCTCTTACTTTTAACCTCCCAAGTGATTAGTACGACTTTAAATAAAACCATGAATTGTATACAATGTAATTTAATTTTTCATATTTAGATGGCAAACACTCGCTATATACATAATTCATAAACATATGAGGCAAAGTTAGTATATCAGTTTTCATTGTTTTTCCATGATCATTGTATTACAACACCCAAACCGTACTTATTTTTGTCAGTGCTCATAAAACATTTCTAAATAATAGATAAATAATAGACAAAAAAGCATCACACAAAATTATTGACCCAGCTGATCCAAAATATTTTCCTGCATCTACTTTAACAACGGAAATAAGCTTAAGTCGCATTATGAGGGACAGACACAGAAATTTCCTCACTAAAATGCTCTATTCTTCCCTTAATAACTATTTCTCTAAGAATAGCAGTTTACTTCATTAATTGCATATTTATCCATTATCCTGATTACTGCCTGCAGGTCAAATGGGGAGTCAGGGTATCTGGAGGTTGTCACAGCAGGCTCATGCACAGTTGTGCAGGTCAAATGGGGAGTCAGGGTGTCTGGAGGTTGTCACAGCAGGCTCATGCACAGTTGTGCAGGTCAGATGGGGAGTCAGGGTGTCTGGAGGTTGTCACAGCAGGCTCATGCACAGTCAGGGTGTCCAGAGGTTGTCACAGCAGGCTCATGCACAGTCAGGGTGTCTGGAGGTTGTCACAGCAGGCTCATGCACAATCAGGGTGTCTGGAGGTTGTCACAGCAGGCTCATGCACAGTCAGGGTGTCTGGAGGTTGTCACAGCAGGCTCATGCACAGTCAGGGTGTCTGGAGGTTGTCACAGCAGGCTCATGCACAGTTGTGCGTTCACCCTGCTCAGATTCTTACGTTGTTTCCCAACCCCCAAAGAGGTTCTGTTGCTGCTAAGGATGTGTGAAAATCTGAGTCTAACATACATGCTCATCAAAGGAAAATTTTAAAAGAGTCATACAAACTCAGAAGAAATTGACTTAATTTTATAAGAAATAGAATCTAAAAAAATTGCTCCTCGTTGCTGCCTAATATAGCTCCACTACAAGTATAGCCTGAACTATAGGAACTGCTGACACTCATAGTTAGACAGCACTGGATGGGTCTGAAGCACAGAACAGCCAAGGTCTTGAGAAAAAAAGCAGTAAGCTTTAGTAATATGGAGTACTCAGATGTTACTAGTCTCTAAATGACTCCGTTGGAGAGTACTTGCCATTTTCAATAATGCCCTCTGCCTCCATGTTCTAAGTAGTAGTAATGAGCTATTCCTCCATGTTCTAGATAGTAGTAATACTCTATTCCTCCATGTTCTAGGGAGTAGTAATACTCTATTCCTCCATGTTCTAGGGAATAGTAATACTCTATTCCTCCATGTTCTAGGGAATAGTAATACTCTATTCCTCCATGTTCTAAGTAGTAGTAATGAGCTATTCCTCCATGTTCTAGATAGTAGTAATACTCTATTCCTCCATGTTCTAGGGAGTAGTAATACTCTATTCCTCCATGTTCTAGGGAATAGTAATACTCTATTCCTCCATGTTCTAGGGAGTAGTAATGAGCTATTCCTCCATGTTCTAGGGAGTAGTAATGAGCTATTCCTCCATGTTCTAGGGAGTAGTAATACTCTATTCCTCCATGTTCTAGGGAGTAGTAATACTCTATTCCTCCATGTTCTAGGGAGTAGTAATACTCTATTCCTCCATGTTCTAGGGAGTAGTAATGCCGTCTGCCTCCATGTTTTAGGTAATAGTAATGCCCTCTTCCTCCATGCTCTAGTGGTAGTAATACCCTATGCTAACAAGATCTAGAATTAGTAGTAATGCCCCTTTCCTCCATGTTCTTTATATGCTTCCATGCTCTATGTAGTTTTCCTCCCATTCTATTAATTTTTTTCTTAGTTTTGTGTTTCCAAAGCCTGCTAGATCCATTTTCTCAACTAAAATACCTTTACTCCCAGATTAATAATAGTTTTTGTCCTTAAAGCCCACTATTTCTCAGGCATTTCCCATGCTGTTCTCTTACTGAGAAACTGAGTACTACCTCTCCTGCTCCATAGCAACAGCTCCAAGCCGTCCTTGTTTCAGTTAGAAATGTGGCATCATGAATTTAAACACAGACTTTTCTCCTTGGATTTGTGAGCTTTCTATTTCTTCCCATAATAGCTTACTGACGGGCTTATTTCTGCCTGTAGTCTTTATCACTCCCCTAGTAAAAAAATGTGGACTCCCTGAATTGTGTTACTCAGTTAGATCTTTTTTCCAAAACTGGCCCACCTTTTTTTCTATACCAAAGCCATACTTTTATTTCATGTAACTTACCTTTCTCTTCTGTTTCCAGTTATCTGTTTGGTACACTGACCTTGTTTGCCTTCTTATCCTTCTGTCTGATCTAGTTGCCTTTCATGCTAATATTCCTTGTTCTTCTGCACAAATTGTTGACTGAACCCAGTTGACTCTTAGAGATGACATGCTTCCAGTCCTTCCATTGTATGTGTGTTGCTGTGTTTGCTCATTGGTTTCTTTCAGTTGTATGTTGTCACATCCCAGATAACTTATTCAGCCCTTTTCAAGCAGGTTATCTACCATTTTATAGTTCACAGTCAATCAAAGACATTTCATCAAGACTTACTAACTTGTGTTCCATTTAACTCTGTAATCTAATGAGATGAAACTGATGGTACTGCAGTATACAGTTGGAATCCTGATACCAAGAAAAATAGTTACAATGATATGGCATATTTTCAAAAAACCAAATGGGGTGATTATATGTGATCACATACCTATATAATTATAGTATCCAGGAAACTGAAGCAGGAGGATTGCCATTTCCACACTAGACTGGGTTGTTTAGTGAGACCAGACTGTTTCTTTGAAAGAAACAGACAATACCCCCAAAATAGGCTAAAAACAAAACAACTTCTCACCCCGCAAAAGGTTGATTGTGTGTCATTCATTTCTAAAATTACTATAATTCCTACATTTACTTTAAGTATATGAAAAAATCATTTATATGAAAAAAATGAAAAGTTTAGCTGTTGAAGGATATCATGTGCCTGTGGAATTTAATGGTTTTTCTTTTTCTTTATCGCCTCTTTAATTCTGTCATAGCTGATCAGAGTTGAGGTGAAACGTTCTGCAGACCTTGGATATTCCTGAAACTGTTGGTTAGGTTCAATATGTGTTCATTGTTTTCTTTTTTTCAGATTTCCTGAAATGCAGTTTTTCCAACAAGAAAATGTGAGAAAAATTCTTACAGATGTTCTGTTTTGTTATGCTAGAGAAAACGAGCAGTTGCTTTATAAACAGGTAAGGAAAATATCTTACAGGTGACACCCTATTGACTCAGAATATCCATACAGCTGTATGAAGAACTATATTTGCTACTACTGTGTACATGCCTTTTGTTGTTGAATGCGAACAGTTGATGCCAGAACTGCTAGGCCTTTCCTCATCCAGCTCCATCACATGTGTTCATGTCAGTTACAGCCCAGCAGTAGCCGTTTAGAATTTAAATTGAAGATATGCATCTCATTCAAATGTCTGCAGATATATTTGGTAATAAAGTTATAAAAACTGTATAAAGAAAACTGTAAATGACTTTGAAGTACTAAAGCAATAGCTAAATAAATAGAAAAATAATAGCATGTTTTTCAGTGGGAAATTTTAAATATAAATGTTTCTTCTTTCTAAATTAATGTATGATCTCAGTAATTGTCTGGGATATGTATCTTATTAAAATATGCCATAGTGCCTTTACATTTAGGGCTTCAAAGATGAGCATGGGGATGGAGAGGCTCCGGAAAACAGCACTCACGTTTGAGTCTTCTGTTTTGTCCCTTGCTCTCCCAGTCTGTTTTTGTGCTCAATCACACTGCCTTCGTTTACTTTAACAGTAAATACTATACTGCCACTGGATGGCGTGACATCCATCATAGTAATTTTTCTATTGTTTTTGCTCAGGATTGCTTTGGTTATCAGGGTTTTTTATGCTTCTATGCAAATTTTATGATTTTTGTGGGTATTTTGATTAAGATTACATTGAATCTATAACTTACTTTGGTTAGGATGGTCATTTTTACAATATAAATTACACCAATTCATGAGCATGGGGCAGGTGGGTCTTTCTATCCTCTAGTGTCTTTCTTCAGTTCTTTTTTTAAAAAGGTAAACTAAATCAGGGAAGTCTTCCATAATGGAAACAAGTTCTATACAGAGAAGATAATGTGACATCGTACTCCATCATTGTTGTGTGAAGACCAGTGTATTTATATTAAAGACTATGTAGGAGTGTGGAAGATTATATTTCTAGATAAGTTGAAACAAACCTATCAATTACTAAATGTAAAAGTATTGACATCTTATACCTGGGTTTCACTTTAAAAGACTTGATTACCCCCCTCTACATGTTAAATTCCTATAGATTTTTTCTTAGAGAAATAATACCTTGCTGTAGAAGGATTGAATATTTAACCGTATTAAATTTAAGGGGTAAAAGCCTTCAGTTTCATCACAAGCTGTTAAAGCTATTATTTTGTACTAGGTGACACCCCGTTTAACATCGACCATATTGTTAATAGTTATGGGATTTTATTGAATTAATGAGACTGTTATCATGTAGTAGAATGTCTTGCTGAGTTAATTGAAATTGCAGAGATTATATAAATGGTATTAATGAACTTTGACTGCCTGATGTTGCAGCTTTAATAAAGACTGCTTGGTGGGCTAAATGAGCACAGGCAGATAAAAGAACAGGTTCAATTTTGTGAGCCTACAGGCTGTTGAAGAAAACTTTGTTACCTTTATGTTCACAGGCATGGGTTTTGAGTACGAGACTACTAAAGAGCATGCAGGATAACAGCTTTAACTAAGCAGAGATGTGGGGGATGGGGACATCAGAGTACACATATTAAGAAGAATACATTGTTTACTGTGTTTTTTCAAGTCAAATAATGATTATACCTGAGGGATATTTCTCTTTTAAAGTTGTATATATACTTTCCGTTTTCATCTGCTTTTGTTTATATCTGATTTTTGTTTTTATTTTTTTCCTGTTGAAGCCATGCCCTTGTGTGTTGAACCCTCTGTCATTTGTTGCTCTTGCAGGAGATATGGGTCAGTTCCTAGCATCCCCTGGATGCTAACAACTGTATATAACTATAGTTCCATAAGATCTGGCGCCCTTTATTTGACTTTTGTGGGCAGTGCACATGGTGATCAGGCATACATGTAGGGATGAATGAGCACTCAACTCGTACCCATAAAATTTAAATCTTTTTTTTCCCAAGACAGTTTCTCTCTGTAACAGCCCTGGCTGTTCTGGAATTCACTAGACCAGGCTGCCCTTAAACTCACAGAGATCCACCTGGCTCTGCCTCCTAATATTGAGATTAAAGGTGTGTGCCACCACCACCCAACTTAGAGTAAATCTAAAAACAAAACAAACAAAAACTAATAATTTCTCCCGGATATTTCAGAAATGCTGTAGATTTTTTAGAACTAAAAATTAAACTTCTAAAAGATTCTGTTAGGGGCTGGAGCGATGGCTCAGCAGCTAAGAACACTGACTGCTCTTTCAGAGGACCTGGGTTCAGTTCCCACAGTTATATAGCAACTCATAAACTTTCATAACTCCAGCTCTTTTCATGCCTCTATGGGCACCAGTCACACACTTGATGCAAAGACATACACGCAGCCAAAACACTTATACACACAGAATAATATGATTTTATTTCAAAAAATACTGTCTTTATATTGTTTAGAGGATTCTACATTTTATTCAGTAAAATATACCTTTATTTATTGATTTGAGATATGATTAATAATTATATTTAATATTGTTTCTCACCTTTTCAATATATAAATATGTTAGCTGGTAGCTCACTCATATACATATATACACACACATACATACATACATGGGCCTCTAAAAGGATATAGTGTAAATCACCAAGTACACACCTTTAATCCCAGCACTCAGGAGGCTGAGGCAGGTGGATCTCTGTGAGCTTGAGGCCAGAGTGGTCTGCAAGAGCTAGTTCCAGGACATGCTCCAAACTGAAAAGAAGGTTACTAAATTGAGTGTGGATGCAGTTTCTTCGAATTGTTTTATACGTGTGTGTGTGTGTGTGTGTGTGTGTGTGTGTGTGTGTATAGATGCAATTCCTTTTAATTATTTTGTGCAGTGTGTGTATATGTCCGATGTGTACTTGTATATGTGTGTGTAGGGCAGAAGCTGTCTACCTCAGTTGCTTTCTAATACACTTTTCAAGAGACAAGTATTTATTGAATTGGAGCTCATTGACTGAACTAACACCTGGCACACCTGTGGCATTCTCCTGTCTCTGTGTTCCTTGGGCTGGTCTTATATATGCAGGCCACCACACGTAGGTTTTTACATAGGTATTAAAGTTCACACTCAGGTCCTCATGTTTATGCAGTGAAAACTTTATTGACTGACCCATATCCTCAGGCCCCTGTTTTGCTACTGTTTTCAACCCACTGGTTGTTGAGGCCACAGCTGCAGAACTTGGATATAGAATCATGCACATACTTAGTCCCATGTCTTTGCGTATTGTAGTAGGGAGAGCTGGTCCTTTTGTTCCGTCCAGTCCGGCTAGCTTACACCTGTAGTAGGAGGGCATGGGCCATGTCCCGCCGCCTGGCCTGCTTAACTCTCAAAGTAAACACACAGAAAATATATTAATTAAATTACTGCCTGGACCATTATATCTAGACTCTTTTTGGCCAACTCTCACATCTTGATTTAACCCATTTCCATTAATGTGCATCACCACTTGACTGTGACTTGCTGGCATGAGACTAACCAGCGTCAGTCTTGGGCAAGAGAACCATGGTGTCTGCCACACTGCCTTCTTCCTCCCAGAATTCAGTTTTGTCTTTCCGCCTATCTAAGTTCTGCCCTATCAAAAGGCCAAGGCAGTTTCTTTATTCAACCAATGAAAGCAATACATAGACAGAAGAACCTCCTACATTAGTGTATACACATACTAGTTTATAACTTAACCATTTTGACACACATTTTGTTAATGTGTATCTCCTGCTAATGAATAAATCCCCATTCAGGTTAGGAAACAGTCTACATTGTTAATTGTTATATCCCTAGTGCATGTGGCATCTGTCATGTGATAAGCAAATGACAAATGATACTTGAATGATAGGAAAATTTTTTTTTTTAATATTTATTTATTATGTATACAATATTCTTTCTGTGTGTATGCCTGAAGGCCAGAAGAGGGCACCAGACCTCATTACAGATGGTTGTGAGCCACCATGTGGTTGCTGGGAATTGAACTCAGAACCTTTGGAAGAGCAGGCAATGCTCTTAACCGCTGAGCCATCTCTCCAGGAAAATTTAAGAGAGAGAAGTGCCACAAAAACTAAATAGTCAATGATAGTTAAAGAAGGCAGAAATATACAAAAATAAAAATAATTACTTTTAAAATTTAATATTTCTGTATTTTGAGAATTTCATATATGAATACTTTATTTACATCATTTGCACCTCTCCCTCTCTTCCCGCCAGATCCTCTTGTATCCCTCTCCTCCTCCTTTCAAATGTATTATTTGTTCTTATTTGTTACTGTTACATATATACACGTGTGTATATGTATATATATGCATGTTTACCACATACGGGGTTTGTTATAATGCTTTTTTTGTATGTTTATGGTTGACTATTTGGAATTGGGTAAGCTGTATAAAGTAGCAATTGATTTCCTTTCTCTTAGCAGCCATTAATTGCCTATGGCAATTAATCATTTCTGGGCCGGGGGCTTGTGAAGTTTCCCCTGTCCACATTAGTATGTCAGGCGATATTGTGATTACCCATACCTTATTTAGGCAGCCATATTGTTGAGATTTCATGGGTGCATCTTCCTTGTTAGCTCTAGAAGATCCTCAACAGTAGGCATCCTATACTTCTTGCTCTTACAGTGTTCCCACCATTTTTCCTAGATTTTACCCACTAGATGTTGGTGGTTGCACTGTAGACGTACCAGATGGATTTGTACATCGCTGGGCAGTTAGTCACTTGAGTTTTTTCCAGGTGTGATTCTCTGAACTAGTCTCAAAAATGCAAAATGAAGCTTCTTTGATGATGGATCAGAAGTGTACCTACCTTTGGTTATAAGGATACATATTTGAATTCAACAGAAATTACATTGGTTTAGGAAAAGGCAGAGCTAGGGTCTGTGACCCCTCCAGCCATAGCTGACTGTCTTACAGTGCAAAGCAGGAATTCCCTCCTATGGAGGGGGGCTTAAGTTCAATTAAATGAGCATTGTTCA